TTGCAGCTTAAAGGATAAACAGCAGTTCCTTTGATCCTGGGCTGTTGGAAGGGTTATATTTAAAGCCATTCATGTCTCCCCAGCCCTTCACCCTTTACATCATTTGTTTTATGCTTTGCACTCACCCCACTGCTGGAAATATCACATTCCCAGTACAGGGGTGCAGTAAATACCCTTTATGGGAATGAAACAGGTTGGGAGAGACCCCCCCCCCTCCACTGTGCCAAACCAAAATAGAAAATAAATAAAATGCAACAATCGGAGCTTGGACTAAAAGGCACCTTTTGTCACCGTTTCTCTGAGTAGGTGGGAAATGGAGCTCAGGAACACTCAACCTGGGAACATCAAAGGGAGCCTGAAATGGGCAAGAAATGATGGAGAATTTTGCTAAACCTTGGAGTTTTCTGATGGCTGGAGGGCAGGAAAGTTGTGTTTACTATGACCAACGGGTTTGTTTGGAAGGAAATAAGAATCAACAGTAAACCACTCAGAATTTGGCTGCTTGTCCTTCCCAACCAGAGGGACTCAGCCACCCTGCAGATCCCTTCTGAGAAGGGTTGGTGGGCCAGGGCTACAAACACTGGGCTTTTGGGGGGAAAAAAAAAAATAAAGATAAAGAAAAATGCAATATTTTAAAAGATTGGAAAAGACCTCTGAGATCATGGAGTCCAACCAGTCACCCCCCCCACCATGTTCATCACTAAACCACGGCCTGAAGTGCCACATCCACGTGGTGGTTTTAAACACTTCCAGGGATGGGGACCCCACCACTGCCCTGGGCAGCTGGGCCAATGTTTGACCACCCCTTGCAAGAAGAAATTTTTCTTAATATCCCATCTAAACCTCCCCTGGCACAACTGGAGGTGATTTCCTCTCATCCTGCCTTGTGCTTGAGCTCTGCTGGAAGTCTGGAAACATCTTGAGATCCCCAAATTTTGATTTCCTTTCCCTCCCCTCCCAGAAAACCTTCCCATTCTTCTGGGTCATTTCCGTGGAAGCCCCTCAGGGTTTTGATTTGTTGCAGTGTGAAATTGATACCGAGGTATTAAATGGAATCGCGAGGTGTTTATTGGAAATATGGAAATGCAGCACTAAAGTGCAGGTTTAAAAATAAAAACGTGAGCGAAACAAACGGCACGAGTGAAATGCCAAATCAAAACAAGGCATCGAAAATAAAATGTCATTTTTCTCGGCTTTGCCCATCTGAGCAATATTCCTGTGAAGTGTTTTGCATACAGTGATAAAGAATCTGCATTTATAGAGTTTTATGCCATCAGACTTGCTTGTCTGATGACAAATGAGAAGTTACCACCTCTCCCAGCTCTAATATTGTCTGTATTAAGATGTGCTTGGGGTTTAGTACTTTCAGGACTTAAACTGGGCTTTGCTCTTTCCTGGCCTGGCCCAAGGCTGGCAGATTTTGACACTTCAAAGAGTGAAGTGTCAAAGACACTCCAAAGAATGAATTTTGTCATCGGGATTTTCCCAAACTAGGAAAAGGTTGCTAGTAAAACAAAGGATCCAAAGGAAGGTGCAGCACAGTGGAATTTTGGGGCATCACCCAGAGCTTTGAGGAGCAGCCAGGGAAGGAAAAGCAAACCTCTCTCTTGGCTGGGTGCCGAGGATGATGTTGGCCATGCTGGGGAGGACAAGCTGCATCTCCTGACCCCACCCTGGAATTGTTAAGGTTGGGAAAGACCTCTGAGATCAAGTCCAGCTGTCAACCCAGCACCATCACTGAGTTCACCACTAAACTACATCCTCAAGAGCCACATCCTTCAGTGAACTCCTTCAGGGATGGGGACTCCAGCACTTCCCTGAGCAGCCTGTTCTGGTGCTTTACAGCCCCTTCCCTGAAGAAATTTTCCCAATATCCAATCTGAACATCCTCTGGGCAGCTGGAGGCCGTTCCCTCTCCTCCTGTCCCTTGTTCCCTGGGAGCAGAGCCCGACCCCCCCCGGCTCCCCCCTCCTGTCAGGGGGTTGCAGAGCCAGAAGGTCCCCCCTGAGCCTCCTTTTCTCCAGGCTGAGCCCCCCCAGCTCCCTCAGCTGCTCCTGCTGCTCCAGCCCCTTCCCTGGACACCTCCAGCCCCTCAATGTCTTCCTTGTCATGAGGGGCCCAAAACTGCCCCCAGAATTCAAGGTGTGGCCCCACCAGTGCCCAGTACAAGGAGAGTCTGAACCACTTGACTTCAGCATGGGCAAGGTGGGACCACGATTTCCTGGAAGAAGGGAGGAAAGAGGGGATCTGATATTTAAAAATCAGTCCTTTTTAAATCAGGAGCCATGGCTGTGTTGGAGGAGAGGCAAACCCTCCTTGTGCCAGGACACGTGAAACCCCCAAGAGCAGCTCTGCCACTCTGGGGCCAGCACTGGCCATTAATGGTTTGTCTGTTTATGTTTCAACCAGGCTGGGGAAGAGCTTTTAAATGCATATTTTCCTCTCGAAAATATCGGCCCCCGTGTTTGCATTTTTCGGGGGCCGGGGGGAAAAATTATGTTTCATATTTTCAAAACAAACAGTGCTTTTACAGAGGCAGAAACGCAGGCCCTGAGTACCCAGCACACCTTTGCCCTTCACAGGAGTTTCAAAGCTTTAATGCTGCTTGTGTGCTAGTGAAAATATTCACCTGAAATGTATTTATCTTCCTTTGCTAATTAACAGCAAAATGACACAGAGAAACTTTATATTTTCCTCGGCAAGAACAGCCATAGAGGCTTCATTTATGGAGGGCTCTGAATGATCCCTATTCATGGCCAGTAAGTACTGTCTGCACCAAGAGATCCTTGTCTGCAGGGCAGAGTGACAGAGAAACCTCATCGTGGAGAGCTCGGGGGCAGAGCTTCCCAAATTTTAGGCTGTTATTTCACTTTGTCTCCTAATAGTTGTAAATGTAAGGGTGTAGGTGTTCTGTATATCTGGGGAGAAAATGTAGCTCTGCGAATGAAAACACACGAGGGTAGCAGTGAATGGGATATATATATATATTTATATATATCAGCACTCATCAAAATTCATGATTTTATAAACACATCCATGAAAGGCTTGAATAGAGGAGTCATGTGCCTGCATGTGTGTGCATATATACATAGTTTTATATATATATATGTATATATATATGTATATATATATATATGTGTGTATATAAACACATAAATGTAATCATGTTCATCACAGAATGGTTGGGGTTGGAAGGGACTTTGAAAGGTAATTCCAACCCCCTGCCATGGGCAGGGACACCTTCCACCAGCCCAGGTTGCTCCAACCTGGCCTTGGACACTTCCAGGGATCCAGGGGCAGCCACAGCTTCTCTGGGCAACCTGTGCTGGGGCCTCCCCACCCTCCCAGCCAAGAATTTCTTCCCAATATCCCACCTAACTCTGTTTTCCTTCAGTGTGAAGCCATTCCCCCTTGTCCTGGCACTCCAAGTCCATCTAAAATTTCCCTCCATCTTCCTTGTAGCTCCTTCAGGCCCTGGAAGGCCACAACTAGGTCACCTTGAAGCCTCCCTTCTCCAGGCTGAACAATCCCAATTCCCCCAGCCTTTCCTTCCAGCAGAGCTGCCCCGTCCCTCCCCTGAAACATTTGTTCCTTCTGGCTAAAATTTTCCATCCAGAGACTGCTGAAAGCCTGTGATTGATGGTTTGTACCTGGGAAGACAGTGGGACAAACCCATGCTGGTTTTGCATGAGGACCTCACCATCTTTCAGTATTTTAATTAACACTTTTCATGTTGAAAGGGTTCAGAGCAGCCTGGCAGCTTCACTAAGGACAGGTCCTTTTTCTCCCTAATCAAAGAGCTTTTCTCCACAGGAGCTCTTGGGCTCTGTTGAAGAGCTTTTGGAGTAAAGAGAGACTTTGGATAAGGGAAGAGAAACTGGGCTTTGAGTTAAAGGTGGTTTGCCTGGCACTGCACTAACACAACTCAGATTAAATGGCTGATGGATCCAAGGGTGTGTGGCTGGAAAGGTGAGCAAAGACTAATCCATCAGAGGAGAAGGGCTTTAATCAGATGATGGTGTAAAACAGTAGTTAAAAAGAAGAAAACAGATGCACTGCTTTGTGACCAACCCATCATTAAATTCCTCTTACCCTGGTACCAAGTCTCCCTGCTGCTCTCCCACAAAGAAAACACTGGATTTCAGCTCAACTTGCAGCATCATCAGTCTTGTTTGTTAAGTCAGATTATTGGCTTTTTGTGGCAGGAGCTGCATCTCCCTCCTGCGTACAGACCTGAACGCTGCACTGGAAAACTAAATCCAGCTCCTGATCTGTTTGTCTGTCCCGAGTTCCCTCTCTATTTATCCAGTTTAGGCTCCTGAGCCCGTTCCCCTCCCTGCTCTGCTGCACAGGGGCACAACCTCACAGAGAAGGAACTGTTCCCTGCAGGAAGAAACTTATTCTGCATCACACACTTTCTCCTGTGCCTGCCCAAGCCTTCCTCTCCTCTTCCTCTGCCCCTGAGCATTCCCCCTCCGACAAAGCCAAGTCAGCAAAGCCCCCCAGTCCCACGGGCTGGTTTCCAGCACACGTGGGGACTGAGAGGTGATTTGTGTGATGCTGATCCCATTCCCCCCCTTCCCTGGGCTTTGCCAGAGGAAGGACACCAGCCTGACACACCACAGCCCGTGGCACAGCCCAGGGTTTGTGGCCAGGAGCTGCTGATTGACAGGTCAAGCCCAGTTCCCCAGGGCTGGGCTCACTGGTCCCACTGTTACGGTCCCAGATTCCCCACATACCATCCCGCTGCGGCTCTTTTATAGCTTCCCATCCCCTTCCAGCAGCAATGACGCCATTGTGGAGGGAATGGGGGCAGGCAGGGCTGGACATCCCCCCCTCCCCACCTTGGGGCAGGGTTTTCTCCCTCGTCCCTCTCCCCTCGGAGCCCCCCCCGGCGCTTCACACGTGTCAGGGGCTGGCTCGATGAAGGGCAGGTTAATACCTCTGGGCCAAGGCTCCTGCTCTCCACTCCCCATCCCGCCTCCGGCTCCTCCACAGCCATGGACAGGATTTTCTCTGCCTTGCTGCTCTCTTTACTGCTCCTCCTCCAGAGCTACACCGTGTGTGGGGCCCCTCTGCAGCCCAGAGGTGAGTGGGGGGCGCGTTGGGTCCTCAGCCTCTGCCACTCGTCCCGGCACTGGGAAGGAGGAGAAGGGAGAGGGAACACCCAACATCAGCCAGGGAAGCGAAGGAACTTTCCCACCTGCGCTCCCAAGGCAGCAGGAGCTGGAGCTGGGTTGGCTTCTGGCTGTCCCATGACTTCAGTCTGCACTGAGGGACAGTGAGGTGGCACCGGCTCACCCCGAGTCCCCCGGGGCCCGGCTGGAGAAGGCCCAGGTGGGAGAAGGGCTGTCCTCTGCCTCCCAAAACGTCTCCTGCGCCTTCCAAAACCGCTCCTCTCCACAGCTCCACGAGGAGGGTCTGGCCAGGAGCTGGAGGAGGAGTTGGCCAGATCCCCCCGGGCAGCCGGGGTCACCTCCCCGGGCAGCAAGATCTGGCTGAGGTCGATGAGGTTGATGAGAGCAGGACTTTCCTATGTTTTCCTTCATCCTGAGCAAAATCCTGCTCTGTTTGACTTTCCAAGCGGGGCGTAGGGCAGCCAGGAGGGAGGGGAGCTGCCTGCTCTGTAGCTCGCATGGCTCTAACTCCCAGTTCATGTCAGCAAGTGCTGGACACCAAGGCAAGGGCTGCAGGGTCTGCTCCTGGGGAGCATCTTCCAGGGGCTCCAGGAAGCCTGGAGAACTCACTGCCAGAGAGGCAGCCGAGGCCAAACTTACTTTGGGGTATTAAAAAACCGTTGGAATGGTCTTGTGCTGATGCAGAACACACGTTTGTGGGCAGGCTGAGGGTTGTCAAGCAGGGGTGACAGGGACTTCAGTGTTATCTGCTGCTCACGGAGGGAGATTTCTGCTACACTGACCCGTTTCTCCTCAGCAATTTGGGAAGGGAGAGTTATCTTTGCTGTGCTGCTGAAGTCAGGAAATTAAACAGAGCAGGCATTCAGCTCAGCCCTTCTGCCACTTCTAAAATAAACTCCTTGTAGGTCTGGGTTACTCAGCAGCTTTCCTGCTCTTGGAATGAGTATGGCAAAGATGCCATAAAAGATATTTTCTGCTAAATCAGGGCATAAAGTTCAGCTATTCCTGCATAATTCCTAGTGTGGATATTTTTTTTTTAAAGGACATTTTATTTCTGGTTTAATTCAACTTC